GCATATCATTCCTTGAGTTTTCAAAGGCCCATTTTAGAGGATTATAAATTACAGTTCCTCCGTAATTTGCAGTCATTCCTTGTGCATGTTTGAGAGCTTTTGAAAAACTTGCTTCAGAATAAGGTTGACACTTTTCAAATAAAGAATCAAAGCGTGATCCGAATGATACCACATTAAACAAACAATCTTCGGGTAATGAACGAAGAAGTAATTGGAGTGCCTCAGATGCTTTCTTAATAGGTCCACCCTCCATTGAACCAGACCTGTTACCATAGCATTTATTAATATTATAGTATGCAAATGTTTATTGTTATCTGTTATATTTTTTGAACATACCTATCAATCACAAAAATTAATTCAGACATTATTTCATTAATAGTAAACTTTGGTACTAAAGTTAGTATAACGCAATTAGTTTCTTTCTTAGGGTCATATTCAATAAAGGCCCTAGAGTGAGGGGGGAAAACATAATTACAGTAATTGAGAAATAAATAATATCAGATTAAAAGTATCATTAAAAGGACCATTACCTTGGCTTATCGAGATCAAGACTTTTAACAACAAGTATAAAATCTTTTTCTAAATAAGTAATTTACTCATTCAGTCGAAATACGATGAGAAGGTGATTCAATGTTTTGAATTTTAGAAGTCATTCTACATGTAATATTAAGATCTAAATAATCGACAGTCTTTCCTAAATAAGATAATTTATCAGGAATAAGTTTTTTCCCATCATTTGCAGGAGAATAACCCGATGAACCGTATCGTGGAGCAATGGCAGTAGGAAAAACAAATCGAATTTTTTCAGATTCAGCATCATGTTTAAGTTCGGTTACGTATGTGATTTTAATAACAACGGTTTGACCAGTAGTGATATTGCCAACGGAGCATTGGAAAATATCCGGGAGTTGTTCTTCCAAGAGATAAGCCCCATGACCTTGCTATAAACAAACATTATGTAAATACTATGCGTAAGCAAACTATGTACATACATACGTACGTACGTACGTACAATTATTTATTTTTATATAGTTATCTCATGTTACCTGAATAGCCTCGTCATATTCCTGCGCTGCCTGTTTTGCTTCTTTGACTATTCCTTTAACTTTTTTTTTTCCATCAATTTCAGCTTCAAATGCACATACTGCTGCAGCTTCATGAAGTGGGAATTTATAAATGGCTTCAATCGTATTCTTTTCAACATTTTTATATGTCTGACAAACCGTTGCTAGTATTATACGAGCAAAAATATTAGTTATATTAAACATGATTAAAGCTATAATAATATTTAAATATGTAAATTAATTTACTTTCTGCTATCATATCAACGACTAATTAAAATTTAAAAAGAACATTAGTGACATAAAGAAATATATATTATATTCAGTAAATTGTATATTTATAAAAAGAAACTTTACTGTCCGCCTCAACAGAAACATTTCGCAAAAGAACAGACTTTGGATAACCCCCTTCAGTGAAAGTGAGCCCATATAGTTGCATTCTTTTATAATACGTATACAAGATTGTTTTAAAAACGTTAAGGATGAACTCAAGAACAAATCGTACGCACGTACGTACGTTGTAACTACCAGGTGGATATAAATAGATAATTTATGTAACTAATCCACCGATAGTTACGTCCATAAGAGTACTATAACTAATGCTTATTTATTACTGTTAGTATTTTTTAAGTAAATTATTATAAGAGACATTGAAGGGATATTATGTTTTTGCATTGGAAGATATAAATCTGAAACACACACAAACAAAGTATAATTTTTTTTACACGAATTATAGGCAAAAATATCTAACGTATGATTAAATTGTTTTTTCCTAATATGGTCATTATTATTGCTCGGTCAGATGACTTTATTCAAAACACAATGCATAACTTTATTTAACAAATCTGAAAAACATATGGG